AGTAACCAGATCTGAGGGCTCTGGTCTTTGAAGTTTAAAATATTTCCCCAGAACTGCCACATTCTTCTCTCTCCTATCCCACTGGAAGATCACAAAAGTGAATTCTCATTTGCTTCCTCTTTCTGTTAACCTGCAAAAAATACACACTCACTGATAAAGCCCACCAGTGATTCATTACATACCATCATCCCAAGGTTTCCAGTATAAATGCCATATTAAATGAGTCTCTTCTGTTTTATTAATGCCTAACAGACATTTAATAGCAATGATGGTGCCAATGATTCTTATTGTATCATACCATTAAAACCCAGATGTTTCTGTATGAACAGAAGCAAAGACACCAGTCCCTGTGTTCCTTCCCTCCATTATCATTTCCTAAGCAGTGGCTGAGCTGGGATTCATTTGGAAGCAGAAATAGTAGGATGTAACCGTTCTGTCCATATTTTCATTTACTCTATAGATCAATTCCATGTTCTCTATTCCTCCATTCATTATCAATTAAGAGAAGAAAGAGAAAGAAAGAAAGAAGGAAAGAAAGAAAGAAAGAAAGACAGGAAGAAAGAAAGAGAACAAGAGAGAGAAGACAAAAAGGGGAACAAGATCTGGTGAATTAAAATTTAGGTTAAGACTATATTTAGGGATGCTTGGGTGGCTCAGTTGGTTAAGTGTCTGCCTTTGGCTCATGTCATGATCCCAGGGCCCAGGGATCAAGTCCCACATTGGGCTCCTTGTTCTGCAGGGAGCTTGCTTCTCCCTCTGCCTGCTGCTCCCCCTACTTGTGCTCTCGCTCTCTCTGATAAATAAATAAATAAAAATGTTTTTAAAAAGACTCTATATTTATTTTTAAATTTCCTAACATGGTACAAACATAAATACACCCAAATAATACACATTTTAATTTCTTGGTATTTCATATATAACCATCCCACGTGTTCCTTTCTTGAAGCCCTAGTCCTCCCCACAGCCTTCATCCAAAGCATTGATTCATTTACCAATGAATGGAGATTACTATAGCTGCTACCAGTCCTAGCACATGTCAGAAACTGGTGTGCAATGAAGACACTGCTCGATTTGTGTTTTCTCTGTTGAGCTTGTCCCCAAGGGAAGCTCCAAAAGCCATATCTGTTTGAAGCCCTGTAGGAAAGAGCTGGGACCTGAGCTTGCCTTCTGGGAGCTTCTAACTGCTTCTGGGAGCCTCTAACTGCTATGATGGTGGCCTCCTGCAGACCTAGCCACTTTGGATCCTGATTAGAATCCCCAGCTCCTACTTACCCAGCCTTCTGAGTCACGTGGGTAAAAATGATTCTGGACAAGTATTGTTCCCATTGCCTCTCCAGATGTTAACCCGCAAACACACCCAAGCCCCAGAGGTAAGGAAGATGACTAAGTTGGCTAAAGCAGCATGCAGAGAGTGAGAAAGGTAATGTAAACTACAATTCTGTTCTATCCAGGCATTGTCCTAGAAATGAATGCCTGTTATATCACATTGGCCTGTGGTCCCACAAGGAGATTTTCATCATCACAGAGCAATTTGTCATTGTTTTGCAACTCAGTAGAGTGACAATGCTCAGAAGTGGGGAGAGAATAGGGACCGAACTAGCATCTGTATTATACCTATAACATCTCCTGCATCTGTGTTAGACCTATAATTCCCCTATACATATAGCAGTAGGATCTCCAGAGATGTTCTGTAGCCAGCATTCCATACTCTACAGTGCCAGATCAAAAGGAAGTTGAAGCATAGAAATACGGAAATTGTCATAGAGAGTATCAGTCACCAAGAACTTTTGATTTCACCTTTTTAAATATAACTTCAGTTTGCCCCTTCCTCCTTCATTCCCTTTCCTATTACTGACCTCATTCAGAACATCTTCACTACTCTATTCTCCACTTTAAATCACCCTTTAAAATACCAGTCAGTAAAACAGGGACAAAAAATGTGAGTACTCCTACCTCTTACTTTAGGTATTTATAGTTGGCATCTTTTCATGCTGTGTTATCAAGGAGTAGAGGGGACAATAGGCCAGGTTTTGCCTGTTCCAGCAAGGCTTCTACAATGCCAAGGGCCCACAGGCGAATCCTCTGCCCCTGGAGCAGTTCACGTAGTCAACAGAATGCCAGCCTGAGGTTCACAATATCTCGGTCTGTCTCCATTTCTGTGGCCTTAAAGTCATCATGAACTCATGAAAGGAGTTGTCCAACAAACAAGATGGGTTGTCTCTGAGAGCCTATTGCTACAAATCTTAGTATGTGACTGATTGCTTGTGATGTTAGCATTCATGTCTGACGTGTCCAATACTGAGCTCAAGATCTTCTACTTCCACATTCAACCAGACCAGTTTCCCTTATCACGTTCCCTTGCTGTGTGGAAGGCAATGCTCTACCTAGAAACCTGAGCATCTTCCTTGACTTTTCTTTATTCCTATCTAATCAGTCACTACGTTCATAAATATCCTTCATGTCAGCCTCCCCTGTCCAAGCACACTGCCCCTGCGGTTCAGGTTCACTGTCACTGCTTTTTAACTCTACAGGTCACTGGGTTAGTCTATGGATGAGCTCTTCCTGGCTTCCAGTCTTGCTCTCTCTATAATCTATTCCTCACCCTCCTGCCTAGTTGAGTTTTCTGAAATAAAAATTTAATAATGTCACACTTTCTTAGAACCCTTTAGGGGTTTCTCAGTGTTATAAAAATAAAATCCCAGGGCGCCTGGGTGGCTCAGTGGGTTAAAGCCTCTGCCTTTAGCTTAGGTCATGATCCCAGGGTCCTGGGATTGAACCCTGCATCTGGCTCTCTGCTCAGCAGGGAGCCTGCTTTCCCCCTTTCTCTCTGCCTGCCTCTCTGCCTACTAGTGATCTCTGTCTGTCAAATAAATAAATAAAAATCTTTAAAAAATAAATAAATAAAATCCCGACTCCTTAGCCCGTCTTAGATCTTGCTCCTATCAATGTTTCTGGACTCGTTTTTCAGCTCTTCTTGTTAAACCAGCAGCAGTTAACCGCATTGAACTCCCTCAACACGATTGACCTCGATTGCCTTGGTGCCTGTGAGCCAGCCTACTTTCCCTGTAGCTTCAGATCACTTTGTCTCTTTATTCAAGATTTTATCCAAGAGGAAGATCACTTTCTTCACTTTGTCTTTCTATTCAAGATTCAGCTGGAGTTTCATATCCACCATAGTTTATACCTCCAAAATGGACAGAAATGATTTTGTTCACCTCCCCCACAGAACACAGGCTCCTCCTGTTGAACTTCTTATGTCCACTGCTTACATTAGTTCTATAGCATAGTGAGGTCTAACAGACATCCAATACATGCTTATTGATTAAATTTGTTAGAAGAGTTGAATGCATGAGGGGTTTATAGTGGAGTTGAACAAGATGACTGCCAGAGTCCTTCCCAACTCTCAACTTTTCACTTGAAGATAGTCGTCCCTTCCATGGTTTTGAATATCATATCCATTTATTACTCTCACCCATGACTTCAAGGCACTCCTCAACCTGAGCTTTAGACAAAAATGTCCACCTGCCTGTTACATAACTTCAAATTCTAGCTGCTGAGTGAGCATCTCAAATTCAGCATGTCCAAAATTAATTCACTTGCCTATACAACCTGACACAACTTTCCAGTTTTCTGTAGTTGTTAATGACCCCACCCTTTTCTTGGGGGCCCATATTAAAAACATCCAGGATGGCACCTTTCTCCTAAAACCAATCATTGCCTAGTCCTGTGGATTCCCCTTTCCCAAAACCAGTTGTTTTTGTCACTACATTTACTTACATACTCCATCGAATTTGTTGCACTCTGACTTTCATGATGTATTTCCATCTCTGTACCAATACTAGATCCTGGAAAGATTTCTGTATTATGGCTGTAAATCCCCCAAGTCTCAGCATAAGTTTTGCTAACAGATAGCAGGTGGTCAACAACTCTTGGTAGAATGGCTGAATGAATGTTAGGATGTTAGGTTTAAACTGCTTTGGGGGCATGGATCTTGTTATATGCTTTTTTTTTTTGTCCAGCTCCGAATATAGTAAATCGAGTAAAAGGCATAGGAAACAAGAAATACATATTCTTTTATATTGAACACTGTATTTTTTATTTTAAAGTGGAGTTGCTGCAACAACTGCCTGTAGTTTTAATTTTAAAAAAAAACACGCTCTGCTATTTTTTGGTAAAATGTTTCTTAGCCTCAGCTCCCAGCTAAAGCCATCCAGGATCCTGGTTCCCCACCCCTTCCAGTGGCCTGATGCGCGGCAGGGGAGGAGCAATGAAAAAGCAGGGCCTGAGGAGCCTGGAGAGAGGGATGGGGGAAGTCCCGGAAGTCATTGACCAGAGCAAGCGACGGCCTCTGCAAGATCAGCTTGGGCTGCGGTCCCAACAATAACAGGCGCGCGGGCCGGGCGGGGCTGCCAGGGGCCCGAGCTTGGGGGCGGAACCCGGATTGGGGGAGGCGGGTGGGACGCCTTGCTAAGGCTGCAGGGGATTGGAGGAGAGAGATGAGGGGCGGTTGAGCTCAAGGAGTGGGCCGGAGACCTAACGGGCCGACAGAGGAGAGAGCGTGTTGATTGGGAGGCGCGGAGGGAGACGGACCGGAGCCAACTGCGGATTGGCCGTGGCGGGTAGAAGAGGCGTGGTCAGTGCGCGCCAGAGGGAGCGCGAGGGAGCGGGCGGCTGGCCTGCCTGCCAGCTAGCCGGAGCCCCGGGCGTGTGCTGCGAGAGCCCGGGTCGGGTTGAAGAACGCGGTGCGGGAGGCGCGTCCCCCCCAGCTCCTCCGCGGCTCGACTACCCCCCTTCCTTTCCTCTCTTACCCCGCGCTCTGGTCTGGTGTCTCGGGGCAGGGAACGGAGGGAAGGAACTAAAGAGGAGGAGGAAAGCGGAGCGAGGGGCAGAGAGGGTCCCGGCGCGGGGCGCAGCGCGCGCTGCCTCTGGCTCTCCAGTCCGAGCCGCCGCCTCCTCGCCCGGGGCGTCCGCACTATGCAGGCGGACTGCGGGCCACCGCGATGGGGAGCCGGGCTGTGCTGAGAGCCGGGCACAGACCTCACAGTCTCCGAGTCCGGGCCGCGGCCGCCGCCCCCGCCCGGGCCGCGCTCCCCTTCTCCCGCCCTCTCCCTCCCCTCTGCAACTCCTCCTCCTTCCCCATGCCTCTGTTCCTCCTGCTCCTACTTATCCTGGTCCTGCTGCTCGAGGACACCGGAGCCCAGCAAGGTGAGTGGTCCGCGGGGAGTGCGCAGCGCGCGGAGCCCCAGGGGCGGCGGGGGCGCTGGGGGAGCCTCCGGGATGCCGGGTCTCCCGGTGGGGAGCTGAATCTGCAGATGCACGGGGGAGGTGCGGTGCGCTTCGGTGCCTGGCCAGACCTGGCCGAGCACTCGCTGGGTTCATCTGCAGAGGTGGGCTCTGCCTGTTGTCCCTCAAGTTGGCGCGGCTTTACTTTTTGACAAGGCCTTTGGTTTTTCCGAAAAGAGAGAAGCGAGACCCATGAAGGCCTCCGTTTTGGTATTGGGTTTTTCTGGGGAAAATCTTTGGGAGGAAAAAGAGAAGTTTTGGAAGTGTGACCCCTAAAGTTAGGTTACACTGATGGACAGAGTAGAAAGGCAAGGTAATTAAGTAGCATCTTAAACCAATTAAAGGCAGGTGGCGATAATTATCATCTTTTGTGAAAGTGCTCAGGTTCAAAAGCGAATTGATTCTTGTTAGCTTCGAGTCGAATTCAGGACATGCCCTTTATGATACCTTACTGTTATTCCTGTTGGTGATCTGAATTGCCTGGGTCAGACACTCAGTCAGCTGTGTTCCTAGATGGAGCATTCGGAGATAAAAGGGTAAGCCCTTCCAGAAAGTGACAAAACTTTTTTTTTTTCCACCCACAGTCCTTGAAATACCTATTTCAGAACTGAGCAAAACTGTTTATTGAATAATCATCATAATGGAAAGAGAATGCAAGGCTGATTCCTCCCCCACCCTTTAGTACTATTTTCAGGCAGCGAACCACAATTTTTGAATCAGTTTGGCATCAGTTATTGGACACATTTTTCCGTTGCATTTCCTTCTTTATTGCAGTGAGAAGGATATGGGTTGGACTGTTGCTTATTCCTGGGAAGATTTTTATTTTAAGTTGATCTCCGTGTTTAAGTCCCAGTGAAAAGTTGCTCATATGGTTTTCAGAGAAGTGTAGAATCATGGCCATAGATAGGCCTGTCATTATGAAGATGCTGAAACTTTGACAGGCATGTGGAAGTATAATGTAACAATAAAGAAAAATATATTTGGTAAACTGACCTCTTTTAGCTCTAGGGACATTTCTACACAGTGTAACTTAAAATTCAGATGCTTAGCATTCATGATTTTAGTTAGATTATCTTTTTAAATTCTTAAACATCAGCACTTAATAAATTGAGGTGTGATATCCTTCCCCCCACTGAAGTTTTAGAGTGTATGCTTGTATTTTCCTCCTAGTAGGAGAAACAAAAAACAAGAAGGCTTACCTACAGTCAGCGCTAATTGGGACTTACTTTGTGGCAAGCACAGTTTTAAGTGATACATGTGTATTAAGTCGGTTTATCCTCACCACACCCATCCAAAATAGTGTTATCCCATTTCAAAACATAAGGGAACCGAGACACAAAAAATACAAGGTACGTTGATACAGAAAGGAATGTAACTACATAAGCAGAATACTCTGTTTTGCTTATTTCTAGACTGAGACTGTTTATATCGTTTTTTTTTTTTAAATCTTTGAACAGTATAGAATCAGTTATGTCTCCAAGCTTTAGAACTTCATGAACCAGACCTAAATAACATGCAACATTCCCTTATTTTCTTCCAAGGTGTAATTTCAGTTTTTAGCACAGCCTTTTAACAAATAATGGTCCTCTTTCACAGTGATGTCTTATATAAACTGTAGATTAACACAAATAGAAACGCTGGTGGTAATTTAAAAGACTTCTGACTTCTAGTTCTTTTGATTGGGTAAATTTTGTGAAGTTATTTAATTTCTTTGTACCTCAGTTTTCTACATCAGTGATATGAGAATAAATACCTATTTTGTAGCCTAACAAAAATGAAATAATAGTACATAGGAGTTTTGTAAATGGAAAAGCATAATATAGTTTTAAGTGATTATCATTATTAATTTTGAGTTTATGAAGTTGATAAAGAAGAACAAGTCGGGTATATATTACTGGAATCTCGGGAGTTTTGAGATTTCAATTCCCTATTTTTTAAAAATAACTTTTTTTTTACCCAAAGGACCCTGATGCAGTCTGTAGTGGAATTGCATTTAAACCAGTCTTAACTAATCTAACAGACATGCTTTGGAGTCCACTGTATTCCCTCACATAAGCTGAAAAGAAGTCTAATTTCAAAATGAGAAGCAGTGTTTTAAAACACCTATAGAATTTTTAATAATGGAAATGTCTACATATTGTAGTGTTAAGTGACAAACTGTACTTTTTACTCTATAAGAAATCTTAGGAAGAAGACTGAAAAGAAGTAATAGTAGTTGCCTTTTGGTGGTAGAGTTGTAGGTAATTTCTGTTTGCTTTTCCAGATTTTCTGCAGTTAACATACAGTCAAAATATAAGCTGTGGAAAAAATGTTTTGTGATATTTAGGTTTTCCTTTCTTTAGCCAGTCTAGGTAGAAGTGCATTTATATGTTGTAGAGAACTATACCTCGGGAATTTTTAAAAATCTTTCAGACATCATTGTAAAGTAGCAGATGTTACTCTCATTCCAGTTCCAGTTGACCCTTGAACAACACAGGTTTGAACTGCACGGATAGCTGCCAGTTTTTTTTCTAATAAACATATTAGAAGATTTTTTGGTGATTTACAATAATTTGAAAAAACTCACAGAGGAACTGCATAGCCTAGAAATATTTTTAAAATATTGAAAAAGTTACGTATTATAAGAATACAGTATATAATACCAGTAACGTACAGAATACGTGTCAATTGACTTACATGTAAGGCTGGTTAGTTTTCTGGTCAGCAGTGAGTTCCTGGAGAGAGTGCAATGTTACAGATGGATTTTTGACTATGCACCGGGAGGTCAGCACCCTTAACCCCTGCCTTGTTCAAGAATCATATGTAGTGCTATATACATAGCTATTCCTGAGCAGATTTTCTGCTGACAGAGTCATTTCTCTTTTCATTTGGCTCAGAATAAAATTTATCATTGGTCTGAAAATTTGTCAGCCTTTCACAACAGAGATGTATTTTAAACAATATTATTTCATTTACTTATAGATTATATTTCCTCACATTTAATTGTACAATGATGGTGTTTTAGATACAGCTTCCATTGTTGTATTTTTAAGTTCTAATTTTTTAAAAAATATTTTTATTTATTTATTTGACAGAGTGAGAGAAAGATCACAAGTAGGCAGAGAGGCTGGGGGGGGTGGTGTGGGGGGTGGTGTGGGGGGTGGGGAAGCAGGCTCCCTGCTGAGCAGAGAACCCTATGTGAGGCTCTGAGGCTCTGAGGCTCCATCCCAGGACTCTGGGATCATGACCTGACCCGAAGGCAGAGGCTTAACCCACTGAGCCACCCAGGAGCCCCTTAAGATCTAAATTTGATGTTGAGTTCATCTTCAAAATCTTTTTATTGTTGAAAGCATTTTTTTTCTGTAACACGTCTGAAAAACTTAAATTGGTCAAATTTATCATGCTGATTGCATCTTTGCTACTGTAATGAATGTATTTAATAGGAAGTTGAAAGTCTACTATGAATGTTTCTGTGTCCCTGATTTACAATTCAACTAGAAATATGCGTCTCTTCATCTCAGGAGCTCAGCTTCCTAGTTCATGTTCTGGAGGGCTTTGCTACTACTTTCTGGGTTAGATTATTTGAATGTGGTAACATATCAGGGAATTTTTACGATTTATTAAAACTGACTTGTTTTTGCCTAGTAATACGAACTATTTGTGAAGGTATTGATTTTTATTTACTCATCTATGAAATAAGTCAAGTTCATTCTTAATCATTCAATTTCACAATGATGTCCGAATTAATGTGTGGGGGAAAATTCTGTCAAGTAATGGCTTTATTTGGTTGTGATGCAGATAAATAGTTTTTCAACAATATTTGTGAATTGTCAGAAATGAACACATCTCCCTCAGTAATAAATATTTTTAATTATTTCTAATATCAACTTTAGGTTAATTTAGAATTTTCAGTTGTCTTTTTTTGGTTTGATAAAACATTAGGCCTCTTACATGTAGTTTTGTTCAGAGGCAAAAATCAAAGCATCCTTTTTCTGCTATATTTCTAACTAATGTTGCCCAGTGAGAATTAGATATATAACATAAAATCTGTGTGTGCTAATGACTAGATTTTAAATCCACATTTTTAAAACTTATAAATGAAAAATTAATTGTAAAATTTTGTTTCATCATTTTAGGTAGCTTTCCATATGTTACAAGCAAAGAGGAAATACGATTTCCCACTGGAGATGGTTAATAATTCTATCTAAACATCTGAGCTTCATTCTAGAAGACTAACATAAAAATAAAACAAAACAGAAAAACCTTAAGATCATGAAATCTGTGTAAGTGAAAGTACCAGTGCTGCTATGAAAATGACAAATGAATTAATTTCCAAAAAGAAATTATGAGTTTATAGTATGACATGGAAAGACTACATGTACATAGAGGTAGTTTTAGGTTTAGGATTATACTTTACAAAATGAACCTAGGATGTGAAAGTTCAGGTGGTAATATTGCACATTAATTGAATACAAGCAAATAGTTTCTATTTGAACTTCTTCATTAGTTGGATGGATGTAGAATGATGACATAAAATTATTGGGATTAGGAAAAGCTTCATAGAGATAGTGAAATGTGGTTGTCGAAATATGAAGTGAGACAACTTGGCAGTTTTTCTTCTGTGGCTCATGGATTCAGTTTACAACCTTACCACGGCCTTGCCACTTTATTTTTTAAATATTGTACAGATAATTATAGTAGCTCAAAACCAAAAACTTAATTGCTGAGTACCCACACCCACAGTTCTACCCCCGATCTATCAATTTATGATTTTATGTTTCTTCCTATTCCATATTCATCTACATAATAATCTTGCATGGTTGTAACTTTAGTCATGTTGTGTTATGTTCTGTAGACATGTTGTGTTGAAATTAATTGTGTAACCTAATTTAAGACATACAAGCATACTTAAAAATAGAGCAAAAAAATTCAAAATGTAAAAA